GATGCTTTTAAGTAACAATAAAACCTTCATCTTCTTTAAGCCGAATGACAGTAGAACACGGGAACACAGCTAAGATGGGATTTTGCTTTCCTTTTTATTTTTTAAAACACACACACATAGACACACAAAAAAAAAAAGAAAAAAAAGATGACAATCAAAATATCAGCTATCAATGACACAGTAACTCCTGACTGTGGAAAGACATCACATGTTAGCTAAACCAAAGTATAGATCCTTTTGAAATTTTATAGCCAATACTATTAGTTTTTTCCGAAAACATTCCCAAAGTGATGGAAACTAGAAAAAGTGTCTCAGAAAGTTCCAAAAAAAGTCTAGTATTAAAAACAATTAATGGATGAAAATGCATGTTCTGAAAAGAAGATACGGCTATGATTTGGAGTAAATAAAAAAGGGGAGGGCATCCTAATTTCTTAAAAAACATAGAAGAATCTTCATAACCGAAGAGAACCAAGTTAAAAAGAATGCAACTCCCATGACAGTATTAAGTTCACTCCTGAAAAGACACTTTTCCCTTCAACTTCAAAACATCCTGTTTGCTTTTTCAACTTCACCCAGATGAATCCAATACAACATGCATAACAATTCAATGATTTACGGAGTGAAGTCAGACAAGTGCAATTGTAGAAAATATGGCATCAGGTGCATATCAATTTGTGTCACCATCAATTTGCTCTAAAGAAATGCCCTGGGTGAAGTATTAGTCCACAAATCAAACATTCAGCTCAAAGAAACTATGAGATGAAGAACAACAAAAAACTTGGAGGACTTGCATCATAGTCAAAATATTAATCATCAACATCAAATAGAAACTAATCTGCACCTTAAATGATGCTTTTATGCTATGGCCTCGAACCGTTTTAGCGCATCACAATTTGGTGTCTCCCGTCTATAGCCCCAGTGAAGCTGTTGCCACTCAAGTCTACAATTATGTGCAAGGATCCTATAATATTCACCCTCAACTTGTTGCTCGAGCTCTGTTCTCTGTTGACTATTAAGCGGATACTCCTTTTCAAAATTACTTGGCTTCACATAATAATTTACGCCCTTCTCAGTAGTCAACCGATAATCATAGGGATAAGACCTCGAAAGAGAATAAACTGGCTGCTGTGAGGGAATAAAATTCAACAGCAATATCAAAATAACTGGCAACAATTGAATCAAAGTCCTCCATAATCCATTCGACCCACGATCACCACCCATTCTCACCTCAACGCCTGGACCAAAGCTAAACCCACCAAACTGAGTCCTTGTAGCTGGATGCATTCCACCGAAGAAGAAATTCCTGAAAATCTCATCAGCATCAACTTCTCCATCATAATAAAACCCATTAAACCCTTGCATTCCACCTGGACCACGCCTATTAGCACGAGTCTCATAAACTGGCTCATCAGAGCCAACAAGATCATACTTTTTCCTACTCTCCTCATTACTCAAACACTGAAAAGCTCTTGAAACCATCTTGAACACCTCCTCTGCCGCCGGGGCCTTATTTTTATCAGGATGGACTTTTAAGGATAACTTCCGATACGCCTTCTTCACATCCTCAACACTACAACTTTTTTCCACCCCCAATATCTCATAAAAGTCTTTTTTCTTCTTAATTTCCCTCACAATCGTAGCCTGTTCTTCCGTATAAGCCATCGAAATAGTGGCTGACGTTGACGAAGAACCCGATGATGACCCATTTACGGAAGCCCTACGACGGGGACCACTATCTCTTTTATCAGGTGAATTTGAGCGGTTTTCGTTGATGTCCGAGGAAGGGTTTTCCGATCCTGAGCCATTGAGATCTGATAAGAAACTATCGATATCGATTGATGGGTCCAAACGACGAGCTTTCTGGAGGAATTTGGAGGCCCTGTTTTTATCGCCTGATTCGATTGAATCTTGGGCGATTTTCAAGCATTTCAGAGCTTCGTCTTTGTTTCCATCCATCCTTGAAGAAAATAACAATCCGATCAAATAGAATTAAACAAAAATTTCCCCAAAAAATAGAATAAAATAAAGTAACTATGCACTGACACAGGTGATGAAATTGAATGCTATTATGTACGTGAATAAAGATTAAAGTTGAGGGTATATTGCTCTGATTGATGGAGTAAAGTGCTCTTTTCCTGGATTCAGAAATTGGGTCTTCTGCGACGGTGGATTTACGGGTGGATCGAGAATCTAGGGTTAGGTTTTGGCCGGTATTCGAGGAAAGGTAAACCCCAACTTGGAATGGGGTGGTCGTCGAAATTGAAAAGGAAAAATACATAAATACGGAGGAGAATTTGTAGTTTACTTTTGTTGGCCAATTGCTGTTTCGGTCAATGAGTTTTTTTTTTTTTTTTTTGAGGAAGTCAAATCAGTTTCAATACGACTCGGCGAGTTTATTTAACCTTTGGATCATGTTTGATTAACCACTAAAATTATGTCAAGCATCTAATTATTGCTCTCTTTAAGGGTCATCCTTTTGTAAATATCTGGTTTATTCCAACCATGGGCTTGTTCTCATTATTTATTTCAGTTGATTATATATTTTAATTTTAAATAATTAGTTTTTGTAATGCTCTCGATTGATTGCATTTTTGTTTTGATTATAAATTTTAATGACTAAAAAAACTAAAATTTATAATTAACTGAAGAATAGTTTTTACTGATTTTGATTATTCTCTATAATCAATTTCTATAATCAAATTTTATAAAATTTAAAACAACAAAGAACAAAGCCTACAACTCCTTTATACATTCTACAATAGGATAGGCTTTCGAATTCAACGTGTAAAATAAACTATTTATGTCAATTTATACATACTAATGAAATTAATACAAAAGTGTTATGCATGATAATATCGGAAGTTAATAATTTAAAATGTAGGGTTAATCGCACTTTATCCCCTTTAAGTATAGGTCATTTCTCACTTTACCCCACAACGTTTGTTTTTCCTCAGTTTATCCCATCCGTCAGCAATTGCACGTTAAAAACTTCAAGATGCCGAAATTGCCATCGGGTAGTTAATAGGGCTCCGTAGTTATTGCAAATTGATTTTTGAGTTGGATGTGTGCATTTTTCATCAGCAGTTCAAGGTGGTGCTTGGTTTTCTAATTGATAATATTTCTGTTGAATTGTCACTTTCACAGTCTCTTAAGTATTTCCTTCCTCCAGCACCTAGTTACCCTCACTCTTTCAATTTCATCAGTTGAACACTTAAAAAGTTGCTTAGCACTTTTTCCTCCTTAAAAGAGATTTTTTTCTTCCAAAGATTCAGACTATCACTTTTTGAATAAACATAAAAAGTTTGATTTCAAAGAACAGCAGAGTGAATCAGCTATCTAATATACTGTGAACTTTAACTAATCCTCAGGCTAACATGACAGTTCAAAGCCTTTAGAAACAGTTTGGATTATTCTAGCAGACCCACGAGTACTAATCCAACAGAGCAAAGCAGAATATGAGCAAAAAATTACAGAGGAGGAAATTATCCATTAGGAAATCACAGATGTTTCAAACTAACCTAAGCATCAGCCAGTAAACGTGCAAGAAGCTTTCTCACAAACATAAAATTCAAAAAATTATATGCTTCTTCTTTTCCTTCTCTGCTTCTTCTGCCAATAAGCGCAAATTCAAATTCCACTCCAATAGTAAGACCTACGTCCAGTACCATACCCTCGTCGTCGAGGAGGGCTCCAACGTCCCTCTCCGCGAGTACGTCAATGCCGAATTCCTCCGCCCTGTGCTTCCTCCTGACCCTCTTTCTTCTGAACCCTATTTCGACCTAGGCGACGTCGTCGATGCCTACTATAGGGACGGTTGGTGGACTGGTGTCGTCACCGCTCTTCTTCTTCAGCACCACGACGCCGACCGCCACTACCACCACAAGCAGCCCCAGTCCCCCTCTCTTCTGAGGTTCGTCGTCACCTTTCACAATCCACCCGACGAACTTCACTTTCCTCCTTCCCAATTGAGATTTCACCACCGATGGGTCAATTGCACCTGGGTCCGACCCGCCAAGCAGGTGTCGTTTATATTTCTGGTGTCGTTTCATGTTCTTTAATGGAGGTTTTGGAGGTTTTGCTAGGAATACAGAAGAAGGAAGAGGCTGATAGAGGGGAGAGAGACTTGACCGACAATGACAAAGAGGAAGGAAACCTTTTGTCTTCTGGTTTCCCTTTTCTTGTCCCATGTGCCCGATGGAGGGAAATTTCCTCCTCCATTGTTCCAGGGCAATTTTGGAAATTTGTTTTTATCCGTTTCATAAACCTTTGACATATGGGTATTTTGGGTTGTTCATTATTTTCTTAAGGATATTACTGTCTTTTCATTATTCTGTTAATCTCCGTTAGAGTTGACTGTTAGTATTTGGGATAAACTGAAGAAAAATAAACGTTGGGGGGTAAAGTAAGAAATGACCCATACTTAAATGGGATAAAGTGCGATTAACCCTAAAATGTATTGCATTGTTAAAATTGATAATTGAGAATGCCCTTCTTATGTTTTTGTAATAAATAAACAAATGCTCTCTTGTCTGCAATCCTATATAGTATCTTATTACTCATTTTCTACGAATTCAATAGTTGACAATTTTGTATTTTTTTTTAATTTCAATTGATGTGACATGTGTGGCAACAAATCGGTGGAAAAAAAGAGAAAAATGTTAGAAACAGGCATTATTTATTTTTAATCTTTAGTTGACAAATTAACCATTTGAGTTGGAGTGACTAAAGAGGATTCGAAAGATTGAGGCTTTTTTTTTTTTTTTATGGAGTTTATGCATCACATACTGAAATTTGTCCATTAACACTTTGTTACATGGGTTGAGAAAATGCACAAAAATTAAAAGAAAATAACAGAATAGGGAGAGGAAAAGGGAGAATGGGTTTTGTAATCTATTTATAAATTCATCTTCCGTCCGCGGGAAAAGAAAAGGGGGAGGAAAAAAAAAGAGCAAGGATGTCTTCCGCTTCCAAATTCCAAACAAAGGCCTGATAAAGGTCATAAACTACAAAATTCAAGGGGTCCAAATGTAAGAAACCCTGCTTTTCGTACTTCACCTCCCATACCAAATCTCCCCATTCCACCGCCATCCGTAATAAACCCTTGCTGTACTTTTTGGCGTCCGTCGGCCAAAACCCCCACCCGCCAACACTATAAACATAGAATCACAATCACTCAAAGGAGGAAGCTTGATTGGAAGAATTGGATTGGAGAACCCACTGAAACCTAAAACTCCAAAAAAAAAAATAAAATTAAAGCTCAGAGGAGATTGACATGGCAGAATACGAGATTGACTTGGGCAACCTCATGGCCTTCGACCCTCATCACAGCTTTTCCTCTCCTCCATCCTCCAGGTTTTACATCCCCTCAGCCCCTATGTTTCAATTTTTACTTTAAAAATAATTCTTCATTCCATTCAAGGTCCTTGCTTTCACGCTAGCTCCTCTTTGTCTTAATATGTTTACCTTGTCAATATATTGGGCTTCGCTACCTCTTCAAGAGTTCGGTGTAATTATTTGATTAGTTCATTTTTGTTTTAGTGATTGACGATATCTTAAGCCTTTGTTCTTTAAATGTGGAATTTTTATGTGTTGAAGTCAGAATGTAAAGAAAACTCGAGTCGAATTTTGATGAGTATTCTAGGGATGTTGTTCCACTTAAGCACTCTGGACGTATAAACTGTTGAGATGTGCGGATGTTATAAATGTCTTGATAGAGGAACTCACTGTTTTTCACCCCCCCTCTTGGTGGACGGCATAGGGAGGAACTAGTGAAGGAAAGCCTAGAACAGGGGACAAAGTTGGTTCAAGCTGTTGCAGATACTCTCTTTATCTTGCCTTCCACTGAGGACCCAGATGGTCCAATCGTCACGTTGCCTCCTCCTACAACCAGACTCCCTCGAGAGAAGCCGGTATACTCTTCTCTTTCTGACAGCATAATTCTTGTTTCGAAAATCTGTTAACACCATTGGTTTGATCCAAAAATGTACTAGAATGATGGTTGGATGCAAGCAAATTGCTTAATCATCAGGTTTCTTCACAATTTAGTATGGCTTCAAGTATGAGCTTCATATTTACTCTGTAACGTTTTTGTTTGATTGGTGAGGAGCACTTTTTGAGGTTGCTATTTATTGGTTGCTTCCTTACTATCATGCATTCTCGTGATTGGGAGCTCTGATTTTCTTGTCTGTTTTACCATTGGGATGTACCCTGCATCATTTTCTGGTCCTTCCTGTAGGTTGAGTCTATAGTGGAATCTAACATTCTTCTTCCTTTGTTCTCAGCTACCCAAACCAAAACCTCCAACAAGATGGGAACTGTTTGCCAAAAAGAAAGGTGTGTTGGTGATATTCTTACTGCCTATAAGGCCTACAAATTCTAAAGTAAAGAGTGCTTGAGAGCATGGAAAAGACTAGCATATTAGTGGCTTGTTATCTTACTTGATTATCATGTGCAGGCATCCAAAAGCACAAAAAAGACAAGGTTGCATTTGATGAACAAACCGGCACTTGGAAGCGTCGCCATGGTTATGATCGCGTCAATGATGACAAAGATGTACCAATCATTGAGGCCAAGATGAATGATGGTAAATAGTGACTTTTCTTTTTATCTTCTCTTCTGCCTTGTTATTCTTGTCATTATTATCATGTTCATGGTTGTTAATTCAGCCATTACAAAAAGTAGAAAATATTGAGTCACATTTATTGGCCAGTGCCTCAAATACATAACCATGGGCTGTCTTCTGGGGTTAAGAATCTTTGATGCACAACAGAAAATCTGTTTGGAGGATGACCTAAATTCATAGCATCATTTGCATGTACCTTTACATTACCAGTAATAGTGGGTAAAAGCAAATTTGGTTGTGGTTTTAGCCCTTTACTATAGGATATGCATAAAAACCCATCAACAACAGTATGGGTTATAAGATGTATGCATATATTTCCTGAGTTGCACTGCTTATGAAGTAATTTTCCATATTTTTTCTGGTTTGGATCTTCAATTTGGCGTTGGGATGTGATCCTCTGAGCAGCACTCGGGGGATTGAATTATTTTATTGTGGTGTATGCTGCATATCCCTTAGTTTCAATTGTACATGGCCATTGTGTTGGAAGCTCATGGTCGGAAGACAAGATTTGAGTGTCGAAATCCTACAAATAAATTGACCTCTTGTTTTGTTATTTTTACCCCTATTATTTCCTTCTTCTTGCTTATTTGTTTTGATTGTTGAAGGTTTAATGAGTTTGAACAAACAATGGAAAGCACCTTTTGATGATTGTTTTCATTTACATGTCCATGTTGTAGTGTACTCCTAAGTTGTATGTCGCTGATTATAGCATGTGTATTGACAATCATGACTGATATGCTCAGAGCCAGGGGAAGATCCTTTTGCAAAGAGACGAGAAGAGAAGAAAAAGAGAGTTGATAAACAAGAGAAAAATCGTTTGCATAACTTGAAACAAGCTGCAAAGTCTGGTGCTTTACCAAGGTTGGTGCTCTGTTACCATCTCTCATCATTTTACAAAAGTATTTTCTGAAATGTTACCTATAATTGCGATGGATTTTCATGCTGCCTTTGGCATACTGTTTGACTTTGAACCTTGATGCCCTCATTTACCCCTTTCTCTCTCTATCTCTCCCCCCCCCCTTTCTCTCTATATATATATGTGTGTGTGTGTGTAATATTGAGGTATATTGTTGTCTTAGGTCCTGATACTTTAAAACTAGAACATTTTGATGTTTAAGATGCCGTAAGATTGCTGTTTACTATTATTTCTAGCAACGCAAAGGATAGAATCTTTGACCTCGTAATGGGAGTGATATGTTTTCCTATAATAATAACTACAAATTTATCAAAAAAATATCTTAATAGCACCACAGGACTTTTGTGGCCCCAATTACCTAGTTTTCCTCAGCTGGATGAATCCATTTATTGCTTACACCATGTGATTGTGGATTTTGTACTTAATCTTGTCTGGCTAGGTCCTTTTGTGACAGGTAATATGCAGTAAATATAATTCAATCGTGCAATTTTGTACTGACTAAATTCTCTTTAAGTTTTGGAGTGTTTTTTGATGTAAGTTATGCTTGCAACTAGAATTGAAAGCTACGTGAAGAAAAGAGCATAACTGGTGTGGTGAAGCAGTGTCTTTCCGGCTTGATAGACTTGTTTCAGAGCATCTATGAAGTCCTATTGAGTCTAAATCTGAGTTTCTCATGTTCATATGTTGATCGCTTCTCATGTTGCACGGACAAATCTTTGCCTGTATAGCATTTTCACTTGTGTGCTTGTATGCGTGCATATTTATTTAATCCACGTAAACATATACTTTGAGCGTTCTGCAATTAGTTGATTAGTGCCACCAAATCTGACTAAAATTCATGGTTTGCAGTCATATTCAACTTGCTGCCACTGCATTACCTATAACAGGAAGTCAAGCTGCTCCTAAAAAGGTTGGCAAGGATGAACTACAGAATGTTGCTGGGATGGCAGCATCTGCAACAGCCAGTGGTGGGAAGTTTGACAAGAAGTTGCCTGGCGAAAAACCCACTAAACATGAAAAGAAATATCGCAAGGTTGGTATTTGAACACATTAAGTCATTGGTCTAGTTGTTGCATCTGTCATGGCTGTCCTTAAACTTTCTAATACCATTGTCCAAATGCCTCGCTTCATTCAGTTTCTACCCGCTGCTGAAGGATCTGGAATGAGTTCCTTGGAGAAGCAGCAAACGGAGAAGGTCCTTAACAAGTTGATCTCAAAAAATTCCCATGAGATTCTTAACGTTGAAAAGGTATGCCCATGCCATGGTATTGTATCCTGTATCTAACCTTCAGGTGAAACATTCAAATGCATTTGGTCTGAATTCGTGTTGTATGGGATGTAGGCTGTGACCATGTACAATGTGAAGGAGGAGAAGAAACGGAGGAGTCAAAAGGGGAAGTCATTCTCAAGCTCGAGCAAGCTGAAGCCCAACAAGAAATCTTTCAAGAAAATGCCGAAAAAGGGTTCCTCAAATAAAGGGAAATCAAAATGACATTAGGATTGCGAAATCTTTTTAGGCTTATGTCGTTCAATTAAGCTGTAGTGTATGGAGAAGCTGCAGTTTTGTATTAGCTAGGCTGGTCTTATCTCTCGTACACAGCCGTAATGAATGTTTATGCCTAGCCCGAACCTAAAATGGATGACGCAACTGTCTCTGCGTGCGTGTTGAGGTACTTACTTTATTGAATTGACCTCCTCCTCCAAAGAAAAAAGAAAGAAGAAAATAGATTGCGCGTTTTGGTTATTTTACTCGTATACAGCCCTTTCGGGATTATCGCGACAAGATGTACTGCAAAAGGTGTGAGCCGGAAGTGTCGATCTCTTCAGGTCAGGGACTTGGAGGTTAATAAAAATATGCAGGAAACTTTACACCTTCATACGTGTGGTACTTAAAACTTCGTCTTCTGCCGTCTAATGCTAAGAAGGTAATTAGCTGCTAAATCGTAGGATTTCTTGGAGACGAATCCATATGTTACTGGGAGGGTCATTGTTAGTCATTCTGATAGGAAATTTTAGTTTGTCTTCCGTTGACTCTGTTGTGTCGAGTTCCTTGACGCTTAGAGATCCTTTTTACCCCTTTTCAAGAGAAGAAAAAACAAAGGCAGGCGGGCAGGCAAGCAAGCAAGGAGCCCGGAGTAGTGAGGCATGAAAAATTCGACCAAGGCGTGGATATTATTATAATATTATTGTTATTATCATCTGAAACAACGTCAGAATTGTCGAAGTCTTCCTCGCGTGGAACACGTGAGATCATAGAAATAGTAGTAGTAGGACTGCCTCATCATTCGTCCTTTTCTGTTTGTTTAAAATTAGAGTATCCCGTAGCGGCCCGCCCGTCTTCATAGTTCATAGAAAAGCGGTGGGGTCTACCTTTTGGCTCAGAAAATTTCTGTTGGGGCGGTCCAAAAGGCAACGAAAATATCATCCAGAGTCTTTTTGCCAAGAATGTAGAGGCAGACTCAGTTAATTAAGGAAGGAACCCTTTTAAAGCTAATACGAGCTTTAAGGATTTTGTTAAATCAGTTTGTTTTCTAATGTATATAATTATATATGTGCGTTCAATCTTGGCAACTATTTTGGTTTGGTCTTCTACTACTAGGAGACGTATCAATTACTGAGTGATTTTATTTTCTCCTGAGTAAAAGAATATAAAGCTTTTTTATTTTTGCAGAAGAGTAATGAGATTTAAGAATTGAAAAAGAAAAACAAAAGGGGGAATTAGACCCAAAAAAAAACAGTGACAAAGCAGTGTCCTTGTCTAGTTAGGTCAATATCATTAATATATTATAATGTTAGTTTGTTGAAAATCACATCACGTTGCCCATGCAATCCAAAATGGGAGTAGGTGGTGGTGTTAGACCTTTTGCGATCAAATTGCACTTTCTCCCATTGTCTTTTAACCGATTTCACTTGAGTATCGAACTTATTCGTTTTTACCCATTAGTCCATAGCATCCTTAGTTAAGAACAAAAAATGAGATACTACTACTATAAACTTCACCACCAATCACAATTTACATGTGGATTTCAACAAACTATACATCAACGTAAAATAGTTGTTGCTACTAGGAGGATATTTAAAATATTCGAGAATGTATTTTATCGTGAAAAAATGAATGAAAATGTGTAACTTCTAATGACGTGACAATTACTATCAAATGCAATGCATGTGTAATTTACAACTATTAGTTGATCTTGTAATTAATGAGAAACTTGTGTTTGGATACCATATTTATTTCAAATATTATTTTACTTACATTATAAACACATTTTTTAAAATTATTTTTATATTCTTAACTATCTTTTTATCTTGCATCTATTACACGATAAAAAAAATATTGCAGTAATCTTTATTTAAAATATTTAACGACATGCAAATGATTATGATTTACTTTTCTAGCCAATATAAGCAATTCCATTTTATCTCGAAAAAGAAAAAGAAAAAGGAACATAGAACAATGTGCAATACTAGATACGTTTGCAATATATATATATATATATATATATATATTTTAAGTATTAAAAGTACTTTTAGAATGTTTGGTAACTAATTTTTTGAAACTTAAAGAGTCTTGTTTTTTATTATTTAAAAGCACTTTCATTAAAGGTACTTATATTAGAAGTGTTCTTTTATAAGCTATCGCAATCCCAAATGAGGTCTAAGTGAGATCGAGCTTTGAGATTAGGGTGTTAAAAGGCAAATTGCCCATGAAAACTATTTGAAAAAATTGCCAATTTGACTCCTCACATTTTTAGGAAAAATTTTTGTAGTCCTTACATTTAAAATTAGTCAAAATAATCCTTCAAATATAAAAATTTTGCTAGTTTGGTCCCAAAGCTCATTCTTACTCAGTTTCTCGACAAAAAACGCATGCCTACTTCATGTGCCCATAATTGTTAAGGCAAAATGAAACACCCAATTTCCATTTCAATTGTTGATGTAACCAACATGCTATTAAAAATATGGCAAAAAGAAATAATAAGAAAGAGTTCTAGTATAAACTAGTTGGTGTGTAAACTAGTTGTATATCACTACTAATAAACACATCAAAATAGGCAATATTCACTAGGTTAAAAGCATCCCTTGGAGTAAAAAATTTCACTGCCGATTGACCACAATAAGGACTCCCAAATTACACAGGTAATAGGGCTTACGTGTAAAGAGTTTAGTGAATGAAAATTAAGAGAAAAGAAAGGCCATGTTGGGAATGCATTTTTTGATCGAGAAATTGAGCAAAATCGAGTTTTGAGACAAAAAGTGCAAAACATTTATATCTACGGGGCTATTTTAGATGATTTTAAATGTGAGAGACTAAATTTTTTTTCAAAAAATGTGAAGGATCAATTTGGCAATTTTCCATACCAAACCATCCCGTCCCAAAACCCCCCAACCCAGCCCAAAATAAAAAAAAACCTGGTGCAAGCCGAGGATTCTAATTCCTAGCGCCGTTGTCGTCCCGCTTGCACTATTCTTTTTCCCCTGCTTCACATTTGCTGATAAACTTGTCTAAACAAAGAGCGGAGTGGGATTTGGGGTCGGCGGAGGAGGTCCTATTTGGTCAAGGATTTATTATACCTCGTTGGTCAATAAAGTAGACAAGTAGGCTGCTCCCTTCTACCAAAGGACACGGCCTTTTTGAGGCCAAAGCAAACGGGGATAGATTAAAATTTAAGGCAAAGGCAAAAGAGAGACGCATTTTAAACAAGAATATTGGCATTTTATTAGTTTTCCTTCTCTGCTGTGCTCTCTTTCTCAAAAGAGAGACGCAGCAGAGAAAATTAAGGGCTTATTGGGCTTTAAATTCATCGAAATACCTGGTATGCTTCACCCTTATAGTTAGTTTCACCATATGTTTTTTTGGAATATTCATGTACTGTTGTTATTGCGGCACTGTTTTCTTTGGTTTATATGCTCTTTTTCTTCTTTCACTTTTACCATAATTCTTGAAAACCAATTTCTGTAACATCTACTTTCAGATCCCTGCGTATCCGAAATCGAGTCCTGTTGGCTTATTTTCGTTGCTGGTGGTTCTTTGAATATAGATCAAGATTAAAGAGATAAAAGTTGTTTCAAAGTTTGCTAATATGGGTAGAATAAGATTGAATGGTGTTGAGAACAATGGGGATTTGTTGTTTCCGAATTCTGGGATTGGGTTTTTGTGGTGTCCCCTAGATGAAGGTCACAAGCCAAGTGGATTTTTTGCTAGTGTGGGGCAGATGGGGACGGGTTTTGGTATGTCCCCGAATTCTCCAAATTCTGTTGGTAGTGACTTCAAGCTTCCGCACGCCAGTTTCTTTGAGAAATCTATATTGCCAGAACCCGGTTTAAAGGTTGGTGAGGTACCAGATTTGCTGGTTGGTGATGAGATGGAATTAGAAGAGCAAGGGGTATTGAAGAAGAAGAAGGCTAAAAGGGGTGGTCTTAAATTGAGGATAAAAGTCGGGAATTCATCACTGAGGAGGTTGATCAGTGGAGCAATTGCTGGTGCAGTATCACGGACGTCTGTTGCGCCGCTGGAGACAATAAGGACACATTTAATGGTGGGGAGCTGTGGAACCTCAACTGGCGAAGTGTTCCAGAATATTATGAATAATGAAGGATGGCAAGGCTTATTTAGGGGTAATCTGGTGAATGTCATCCGTGTTGCGCCAAGCAAGGCAATTGAGGTATGAACAATGTCTCTATGTTTATTACGCTTTTTTGCGTTTATTTACTGAACAAGTTAGGATATTGGCAGAGATGAATTGGATGTATCTCTTCTGCTTTCACCTGGGATGTAGTACTGTTCTGGATTCTTCATGCCAATTGAGTGCTACCCAGTGTTTGTTGTGGATGCCGACTCACTATACCTTGTCCCCACGTTTGGTATTTGGATTGATGTTGCTCAATGACTTCTTTGCTTGGTGCTGTTTTTTAAAATTTTTCTTTTTAATTCTCAGGTTTGAGATGCACAAAGCATTTTACAATTTTGGTAAATTACCTGGAAATGAATGGTGGTTGGTTATGTGGTCATGATATTGTGATTCACTGGTTTGACTAGAATTAGTAGATGCATTTTTACCAACTAGATAACATTTCAATGTAGAATTAGTAGATGCATTTCAATGTAGTAGTTGTCCTAGTTCTTAAATGTATGGTGTAATGTTGTGAGATTGCGCGTAAGCTTATTTAAATCCCAACAACTCCAATTTGTCAAGGGAAAATTGGTGATCTAACTATGCCGTTATTTTGAGACAGGACTACTGGAATGAACCTTACTCTTTTCTTTACAAATGCATGTGACTAATAACATGATAAAATTAAAACTACAGTAGAGTTAGTATAGCCACAAGTTCTCTGGTTGTAATTGACCAATTTGCCGAAGCAGGCAGGCAATCCCTGTTTTTGCACTTTATTTGTTTGCTGATGTGTTGTCATTTTCCTACATTTGAGCACTTTGCTCCATCATGACTTGATATAGTTACTTGTTTTGCTGAATATCTTGCCATATTACACCTTTCTCTTAAGCATGAGATATTTTATGCAATAAGTTGATTTTAAAGTTTCCTGAAGCTGCTGATAAAACAAAGTCATGTTTAAGCCATAAAGATATGCTTATAGCGACAATACCCTTTTTTAGAAAGTTTTAAGTCGTGAAGGGTGTTTATTATATGTACTATTGGCTTGAATGTGTGCTCTTGTGCTTGTGGTAAACTTAGATTCCTAAAATAGAATTTAGAAAGGATAAACATAAGAAAGAAGAGA